TCCCCATTCCCGGCACTGTGTGTGCCTTCTGTAAATGTTCCCCCCAGTCTCAGCACTGTGTGTGCCTTCTGGAAATGTCCCCCCCCAGTCCCAGCACTGTTTGTGCCTTCTGTAAATGTTTCCCCCAGTCCCAACACTGTGTGTGCCTTGTGTAAATGTTCCCCCCAGTCCCAGCACTGTGTGTGCCTTCTGGAAATGTTTCCTCCAGTCCCAGAACTGTGTGTGCCTTCTGGAAATGTTTCCCCCAGTCCCGGCACTGTGTGTGCCTTCTGGAAATGTTCCCCCCAGTCCCAGCACTGTGTGTGCCATCAGGAAATGTTTCCCCCAGTCCCAGCACTGTGTGTGCCTTCTGGAAATGTTTCCCCCAGTCCCAGCACTGTGTGTGCCTTCAGGAAATGTTTCCCCCAGTCCCGGCACTGTGTGTGCCTTCTGGAAATGTTTCCCCCAGTCCCGGCACTGTGTGTGCCTTCTGGAAATGTTTCCCTCAGTCCCAGCACTGTGTGTGCCATCAGGAAATGTTTCCCCCAGTCCCGGCACTGTGTGTGCCTTCTGGAAATGTTTCCCCCAGTCCCGGCACTGTGTGTGCCTTCTGGAAATGTTTCCCTCAGTCCCGGCACTGTGTGTCCCATCAGGAAATGTTTCCTCCAGTCCCAGAACTGTGTGCCTTCTGTAAATCTTCCCCCAGTCCCAGCACTGTGAGTGCCTTCTGGAAATGTTTCCCCCAGTCCCGGCCCCAGCACTGTGTGTGCCTTCTGGAAATGTTTCCCCCAGTCCCGGCACTGTGTGTGCCTTCTGGAAATGTTTCCCAGTCCCGGCTTGTGTGTGCCTTTAAATATTTCCCAGGCTGCCTATGTGCCTTCTGGAAATATTTCCCTCAGTCCCAGCACTGTGTGTACCATCAAATGTTTCCCCAGTCCACGGCACTGTGTGTGCCTTCACAGGCTCTTTCCCCAGTCAGCACACTGTGTGTGCCTTCTGAAATATTTCCCTCCCAGTCCCGGCACTGTGTACCGTCACAAATATTTCCCCAGATCCCGCTTTTCATGGCCTGAAATATTTCCCCAGTCCCGGCTTTGTGTGTGCCTTCACAAATGTTCCCCAGTCCCAACACTGTGTGCTTTTCTGATATTTCCCCAGTCCCAGCACTGTGTACCTTATGAAATATTTCCCCAGTCCCAACACTAGGTGTGCCTTCTAAATGTTTCCCAGTCCCGGCACTGTATTGCCCTTCATAAATATTTCCCAGTCCCAACATTGTGCCTTCTGTAAATGTTTCCCCCAGTCCCAACACTGTGTGTGCCTTCTGGAAATGTTTCCTCCAGTCCCGGCACTGTGTGTGCCTTCTGGAAATGTTTTCCCCATTCCCGGCACTGTGTGTGCCTTCTGTAAATGTTCCCCCCAGTCTCAGCACTGTGTGTGCCTTCTGGAAATGTCCCCCCCCAGTCCCAGCACTGTTTGTGCCTTCTGTAAATGTTTCCCCCAGTCCCAACACTGTGTGTGCCTTCCGGAAATGTTTCCTCCAGTCCCGGCACTGTGTGTGCCTTCTGGAAATGTTTTCCCCATTCCCGGCACTGTGTGTGCCTTCTGTAAATGTTCCCCCCAGTCCCAGCACTGTGTGTGCCTTCTGGAAATGTCCCCCCCCAGTCCCAGCACTGTTTGTGCCTTCTGTAAATGTTTCCCCCAGTCCCAACACTGTGTGTGCCTTGTGTAAATGTTCCCCCCAGTCCCAGCACTGTGTGTGCCTTCTGGAAATGTTTCCTCCAGTCCCAGAACTGTGTGTCCCTTCTGGAAATGTTTCCCCCCAGTCCCGGCACTGTGTGTGCCTTCTGGAAATGTTTCCCCCAGTCCCAGCACTGTGTGTGCCTTCTGGAAATGTTTCCCCCAGTCCCGGCCCCAGCACTGTGTGTGCCTTCTGGAAATGTTTCCCCCAGTCCCGGCACTGTGTGTACCTTCTGGAAATGATTCCCCCAGTCCCAGCACTGTGTGTGCCATCAGGAAATGTTTCCTCCAGTCCCAGAACTGTGTGCCTTCTGTAAATCTTCCCCCAGTCCCAGCACTGTGTGTGCCTTCTGGAAATGTTTCCCCCAGTCCCGGCCCCAGCACTGTGTGTGCCTTCTGGAAATGTTTCCCCCAGTCCCGGCACTGTGTGTGCCTTCTGGAAATGTTTCCCCCAGTCCCGGCACTGTGTGTGCCTTCTGGAAATGTTCCCCCCAGTCCCAGCACTGTGTGTGCCATCTGGAAATGTTTCCCCCAGTCCCAGCACTGTGTGTGCCTTCTGGAAATGTTTCCCCCAGTCCCAGCACTGTGTGTGCCATCAGGAAATGTTTCCCCCAGTCCCGGCACTGTGTGTGCCTTCTGGAAATGTTTCCCCCAGTCCCGGCACTGTGTGTGCCTTCTGGAAATGTTTCCCTCAGTCCCAGCACTGTGTGTGCCATCAGGAAATGTTTCCCCCAGTCCCGGCACTGTGTGTGCCTTCTGGAAATGTTTCCCCCAGTCCCGGCACTGTGTGTGCCTTCTGGAAATGTTTCCCTCAGTCCCGGCACTGTGTGTGCCATCAGGAAATGTTTCCTCCAGTCCCAGAACTGTGTGCCTTCTGTAAATCTTCCCCCAGTCCCAGCACTGTGAGTGCCTTCTGGAAATGTTTCCCCCAGTCCCGGCCCCAGCACTGTGTATTGCCTTCACAAATCTTCCCCAGTCCCGGCACTGTGTGTGCCTTCTGGAAATGTTTCCCCCAGTCCCGGCACTGTGTGTGCCTTCTGGAAATGTTTCCCCCAGTCCCGGCACTGTGTGTGCCTTCTGGAAATGTTTCCCTCAGTCCCAGCACTGTGTGTGCCATCAGGAAATGTTTCCCCCAGTCCCGGCACTGTGTGTGCCTTCTGGAAATGTTTCCCCCAGTCCCGGCACTGTGTGTGCCTTCTGGAAATGTTTCCCTCAGTCCCGGCACTGTGTACCGTCTGGAAATATTTCCCCCAGTCCCAGCACTGTGTGTGCCTTCTGGAAATGTTTCCCCCAGTCCCGGCACTGTGTGTGCCTTCTGGAAATGTTTCCCCCCAGTCCCAGCACTGTGTGCTTTCTGGAAATGTTTCCCCCCAGTCCCAGCACTGTGTGTGCCTTATGGAAATGTTTCCCCCAGTCCCAGCACTGGGTGTGCCTTCTGGAAATGTTTCCCCCAGTCCCGGCACTGTGTGTGCCTTCTGGAAATGTTTCCCCCAGTCCCAACATTGTGTGTGCCTTCTGTAAATGTTCCCCCCCAGTCCCAGCACTGTGTGTGCCTTCTGGAAATGTTTCCCCCAGTCCCAGCACTGTGTGTGCCTTCTGGAAATGTTTCCCCCAGTCCCAACACTGTGTGTGCCTTCTGGAAATGTTTCCCCCAGTCCCAGCACTGTGTGTGCCTTCTGGAAATGTTTCCCCCAGTCCCGGCACTGTGTGTGCCTTCTGGAAATGTTTCCCCCAGTCCCGGCACTGTGTGTGCCTTCTGGAAATGTTTCCCTCAGTCCCAGCACTGTGTGTGCCATCAGGAAATGTTTCCCCCAGTCCCGGCACTGTGTGTGCCTTCTGGAAATGTTTCCCCCAGTCCCGGCACTGTGTGTGCCTTCTGGAAATGTTTCCCTCAGTCCCGGCACTGTGTGTCCCATCAGGAAATGTTTCCTCCAGTCCCAGAACTGTGTGCCTTCTGTAAATCTTCCCCCAGTCCCAGCACTGTGAGTGCCTTCTGGAAATGTTTCCCCCAGTCCCGGCCCCAGCACTGTGTGTGCCTTCTGGAAATGTTTCCCCCAGTCCCGGCACTGTGTGTGCCTTCTGGAAATGTTTCCCCCAGTCCCGGCACTGTGTGTGCCTTCTGGAAATGTTTCCCCCAGTCCCGGCACTGTGTGTGCCTTCTGAAAATGTTTCCCCCAGTCCCAACACTGTGTGTGCCTTCTGGAAATGTTTCCCCCAGTCCCAACACTGTGTGTGCCTTCTGGAAATGTTTCCCCCAGTCCCAGCACTGTGTGTGCCTTCTGGAAATGTTTCCCCCAGTCCCAGCACTGTGTGTGCCTTCTGGAAATGTTTCCCCCAGTCCCAGCACTGTGTGCACCTTCTGAAAATGTTTGCCCCAGTCCCAGCATTGTGTGCACCTTCGGAAAATGTTTCCCCCATTCCCAACACTGTGTGTGCCTTCTGGAAATGTTTCCCCCAGTCCCAGCACTGTGTGTGCCTTCTGGAAATGTTTCCCCAGTCCCAGCATTGTGTGTGCTTCGGAAAATGTTTCCACCAGTCCCGGCACTGTGTGTGCCTTCTGGAAATGTTCCCTCAGTCCTAGCACTGTGTGTGCCTTCGGAAAATGTTTCCCCAGTCCCAGCATTGTGTGTCTCTTCTGGAAATGTGGCTTTCCCCAAGTCCCAGCACTGTGTGTGCCTTCGGAAAATGTTCCCCCAGTACCAGCACTTTTTGTGCCTTCTGGAAATGTTTCCCCCATTCCCAGCATTATGTGTGCTTTCTGGAAATGTTTCCCCCATTCCCAGCATTGTGTGTGCCTTCTGGAAATGTTCCCTCAGTCCCAGCACTGTGTGTGCCTTCGGAAAATGTTTCCCCAGTCCCTGCACTGTGTGTGCCTTCGGAAAATGTTTCCCCCAGTACCAGCACTTTGTGTGCCTTCTGGAAATGTTTCCCCCATTCCCAGCATTGTGTGTGCCTTCTGGAAATGTTTCCCCCATTCCCAGCATTGTGTGTGCCTTCTGGAAATGTTACCCCCAGTCCCAGCACTCTGTGTGCCTTCTGAAAATGTTTCCCCCATTCCCAGCACTGTGTGTGCCTTCTGGAAATGTTTCCCCCAGTCCCAGCACTGTATGTGCCTTCTGGAAATGTTTCCCCCCAGTCCCAGCACTGTGTCCGCCTTCTGTAGACATTGTGGTGAAAGTCGACATATTGTTGAGATTGATGGGGAGGTTAAGGACACATAATGTGTGACATGTCATGATTCCCTTTTATTCCAGAAGTTTGGTCCTTAAGGGGTTAATCATCATTAGTCGTCCACCCTATCACTGTTTTATTTCATACTTTATATGCATATTTAAACCAAATTATCTCATTTCGTCCTAGGCTGAACTGCGCTGGATCCATTTATCACATTTTTCACTATGAAGAAAACTATAACATTTGGCATTGCTTAATAAAATATCATTATGAACTGCTATCAGGATGGTTATTTTTAGATGAGTGGGATGCCCTGCTACTGATTGACGTAAACAGATACCCAAGGGATGATCTGTGACTATGGATTATGTGTGGTTGATGGTTAGGTCACTGATTGACGTACATGGATACCCAGAGAATGATCTGTGACTATGGATTATGTGTGGTTGGTGGTTAGGTCACTGATTGACGTACATGGATACCTAAGGGATGATCTGTGACTATGGATTATGTGTGGATGATGGTTAGATCATTGATTGCTGTACGTGGATACATAGGGGATGGTCTGTGACTATGGATGTGGCGGACCTACTACTGATTTGTGTGGTTCCCGCTTATAATATGTGTGTTTTCTCTGTATTTCATTTATTGTGCCCGCTCCCGTTCAGGAGTGCTTCCACAAAGGGAATTCCTTCACCTACCAAATGGGGACCACCCCAATAACCCATGTAGAATGTTAGTTTAGAAACTTAACACCTCGCAACATGAGTATTAAACCGCAAACCCCAAGGGAAACCATTATTGAGCGCTCTCTTGGGCAGCCACCATTCTTACAATTGAACACCAGCCAGGTGGAGCATTTGTGGATTGTTTCCTGTCTCGCTCGTTTCCCGAACAAGGACCTCCCCAGTGCCCCATTAGAATGTTCGAACCAATTAATCAGAACTTTCTCACTTGCAACCTAAGTGTGAAACTGCAAGGGAAGTAAATTAATGAGTGCTCCCCTGGGTGGCAGCCATTTCGTATACACGAACGCCGTCCAGGGGGAGCATTCGTACCCCAAAAGGAGATGCTTCCCTTGTCTGGGATTCACACCAGGAACTCGCTAACAGAGACTAGCCAATTGAGGGACCTAGGCAAGTATCCCTGAGATTGGTGTGGGCACTTCTGGGGCACTGGCAAGTTTTTGGCAGGCTCTCATGAGCCCGAGGGACAAAGAGACCAGCTCTTTTCCCACAAGCTGGCTTTTCTGTGCGTGGGAGCCTGCGCCTAGCCTCACAGGCACAGACGCCCTTGGGAAGAAGACAGAGATTTAGTGGCAGGCTTTAGAGGGGACTAGCTCCATTTCCTCCCAGGGACTGGACGGCACACAGTCCTGGGAGCTCTAGTCCTTACCAGGACTTTCCCCGCTGAATCCTCCATGAGCTGGAACAAGGTGCTAAGCAGTGATCATAGCCCTTTCCCCTCCAAGTAACTGGACGACACATAGCTCTGGGAGTACAACTGAACTTTATAGGAACACATACGGCTTTTATGCCCAGTGCCCTACCTGGGGTTTACAATACAAGACTGTAGTGGGACACCTGGTTGTTACCTCCGCTATAAAAGAATTGTGCGACCCATCTTCCCCAGTAACCGGACGTCACATAATTCCAGGGGTACAACAACAACTTTATTGGCCACAGGCGGCTTTATACCTTCCCCATGAAGACGATGTCCCCTCCCAGGAGTCGTACAATGAAACTGGAACCCCAGTCTCTTTGTCCCTTGTTCCTGCCACTCAGTATCTCCTCCCCCTCCCCCCCAGAGGCCTGTGCGTGGGACAGGAACTCCAGTCCATTTGTCCTCAGTTCTCTCCACCCAAATACAAGGTTTCCCGCTTCTCGTGCCAAGGGGTCTCCTTCCCAGGACCCAATACACCTGGGAGTCCCAGTGCGGGAAAGATTCCGCCATTGTCCCCAAGAGAGTGGCCCCACCAATCTCAGGGACCACCCTGCCCCCAAACGGTAACTGCTTCCGTTCGTGGGATCCCTGGGTGAAACCAGGCAAGGGAAGCGTCCTCATTCGGGACACGAATGCTTCCCCTGGCTGCCGTAAGTCTATACGAACGGCGGACACCCATGGAAACACTCATTAATTACTTCCCTTGCGGTTTCACACTTATGTTGCGATTTGCCAACATTCTAATTTATTGGAGTGAACACTCCATGGGGCGCAGGGGAGATCCTCGTTTGGGAGCTGAACGAGGTGGGAAGCAATTCGAGAATGCTCCCCCTGGACAGCGTTCATTTAACGAACGGGCCGCCACCCAGGGTTTACATGCGCCAAGGCTTCCCTTGTGGTTTGTGGTTTTCACACCTTGTTAGCGAGGTGCGAATATTGAGAGCCTGTTCATATGGAGCCTACGGAACGTGGAGCAGGTAAAACGTACAAACACAAATATAGGGGAAAAACACTAGGAATTGCACACAGCAATTCACGGACAGAAAGACAACAGGGGTTTCAATTCCAGGATCCTCTGTGCCTGAAAGATAATTGCATGAGGAAACCTCTTTAATTTAATTATCCCTCAGGTAGAGAAAAATCGACAATAATTCCAAACACCCCACAAACACATCATAATATTTCAAAAAAGGTTAATTGATTGCATGGAAGGGCAGAAGGTTTACAATCTAACTTCCTCTTTGAAGCTGGGACCCCCACAGAGCTACTCTGCAAGGTGTGAGACGTCACACAGAAGTGGCCTGGAAGTCTGGCTTTCTGTACAAACCAACTCTCACATCTGCCATAAGTCTTGATTGCCTCTTAGATAGGAAGTCCTTTGATATGGAAATGATCATTGGCTTTCAAGAACAAAAAGAAACCTTTGTGTTTCAATATCATATCCAACAAAAACATTAATACCTACCCACAGATTAATACTCAAGCCTCATCTTTATCATATCCAGAATGGGACAAGCACAATCTTCCAATCAAGCCTAAACATGAGTTGCAAACAAGGGGACCCCACAAACAATACAATGTTAAATAGCACTGACCTGAAAACAATAAGCAGGAAAGTGGGCACATGTGGGCATGGTACTCAGTGACTGCGTTCCGTTACAGATGGTTAGGTCACTGATTGCGTACATGGATACTGAGGGGATGGTCTGTGACTATGAATTATGTATGCTTGATGGTTAGGTCACTCATTGCCGTACAGGGATACCTACGTGATGATGTTTGACTAACCCGGTAATTGCGGCAGTTCAGACAACCGCACAGGCTGGGGATCGCAAGGTGAGCGGGGCCATCAGGTGGATGTGTGCTATGAGGGGCCTGGTCATACACTGCAGCACTGTAATAGTGCGACCGGACCCCTTCTAACCTAACAGCATTGTGTGTGCCCTTTGGAAATGTTTCCCCCAAACACAGCATTCTCTGTGTCTTCTGGAAATGTTTCCCCCAGTCCCAGCAATGTGTGTGCCTTCTGGAAATGTTTCCCCCAGTCCCAGCACTGTGTGTGCCTTCTGGAAATGTTTCCCCCAGTCCCAGCACTGTGTGCTTTCTGGAAATGTTTCCCCCAGTCCCAGCACTATGTGTGCCTTCTGAAATGTTTCCCCAGTCCCAGCACTGTGTGTGCCTTCTGGAAATGTTTCCCCCAGTCCCAGCACTATGTGTGCCTTCTGGAAATGTTTCCCCCAGTCCCAGCACTGTGTGTGCCTTCTGGAAATGTTTCCCCCAGTCCCAGCACTGTGTGTGCCTTCTGAAAATGTTTCCCCCAGTCCCAGCACTGTGTGTGCCTTCTGGAAATGTTTCCCCCAGTCCCAGCACTGTGTGTGCCTTCTAGAAATGTTTCCCCCAGTCCCAGCACTGTGTGTGCCTTCTGGAAAATGTTGTGTGTGCCTTCTGAAAATGTTTCCCCAGTCCCAGCACTGTGTGTGCCTTTTGGAAATGTTTCCCCCAATCCCAGCATTGTGTGTGTCTTCTGGAAACATTTCCCCCAGTCCCAGCACTGTGTGTGCCTTCTGGAAATGTTTCCCCCAGTCCCAGCACTGTGTGTGCCTTCTGGAAATGTTTCCCCCAATCCCAGCATTGTCTGTGCCTTCTGGAAATGTTTCCCCCAATCCCAGCACTATGTGTACCTTCTGGAAATGTTTCCCCCAGTCCCAGCACTGTGTGCACCTTCTGTAGACATTGTGGGGAAAGTTTACATATTGCTGAGATCGATGGGAAGGTTAAAATGTTGGAGGAATCAGGTAAATGGCAGGAGGTCATTAATCATCAATAGTCGTCCACCCTATCACTGTTTTATTTCATACTTTATATGCATATTTAAACCAAATTATCTCATTTTGTCCTAGGCTGAACTGCGCTGGATCCACTTATCACATTTTTCACTATGAAGAAAACTATAACATTTGGCATTGCTTAATAAAATATCATTATGAACTGCTATCAGAATGGTTATTTTTAGATGAGTGGGATGCCCTGCTACTGATTGACGTAAATGGATACCCAAGGGATGATCTGTGACTATGGATTATGTGTGGTTGATGGTTAGATCACTAATTGCTGTACATGTATACCTAGGGGATGGTCTGTGACTATGGATGTGGCGGAACTACTACTGATTTGTGTGGTTCCCGCTTATAATATGTGTGTTTTTTCTGTATTTCATTTATTGTGCCCGCTCCCGTTCAGGAGTGCTTCCACAAAGGGAATTCCTTCACCTCCCAAATGGAGACCACCCCAATAACTCACGTAGAATGTTAATTTAGAACCTTAATACCTCGCAACATGAGTATTAAACCGCAAGGCAAACAATTAATGAGCACTCCCCTGGGCGGCCACCCTTCGTACTGATGAACGCCAGCCAGGTTTAGCATTCGTGGATTGTTTCCTGTCTCGATCGTTTCCTGAACAAGGACCTCCCCAGTGCCCCATTAGAATGTTCGAACCAATTAATCAGAACGTTCTCACTTGCAACCTAAGTGTGAAACCGCAAGGGAAGTAAATTAATGAGTGCTCCCCTGGGTGGCAGCCGTTAACTTAATTATCCCCAGACAGAAAAAAACACACATTTTTATAAAGTTCAATAAGTACCCCAAAATACAACATATCCCCATAAAGCCACATCCCCTGATAGCCCTGATATAGGTGAACAACATATCCACAAATCACCCAGATCAGAGCAGGGGTTCCGGAAATTCCTGGAAGTCTCTTTTGACCGACCACACACATGGTTTCATGCCCAAAACAGTTCCAGAGAATTTGGCCGTGCGGCCGGTCTATTTTAAACTGTCGAAGTACCGTTCGAATTACCGAACGGAATGGTGAATGGCCACAGTCAATGTGTGCCCCTGGTTCGTGGGCTTCAACTCCTGTTCAAATTGTCGAAGTTTCC